CCTATTGATAGCCCTAAATTACCCCCCCTAATCCCATTTAGATTTAGCTCCACCCCTGCCCAACGCAGACCTAACCTATTGATAGCCCTAAATTATTAGGCTCGGGGAGAAAGAGAAAYAATTTKTTRGTAAAATAAATTATTAACTAATTGAATAATTTAGTAAATTAAATAAATAAAAATCTATGGATAATAATTTACTTAATTTTGTAAAATAAATAAATAAGTAACTATTCATTTATTATTGGGGCATGGGTGGTCCAAGTTATCCGGGACAATTCTGGTCAATTTTCATATTTCAAATCCCCTTCCCCCTCTTGATCTGACACTATACTAATTATATTAGATCCTTCAGACAAGAATTCTATGGCACTGATAAGAAGCTATGCAGTGTAAACTTCAGTAAATGCAAGAATGGTAAGTTGGTCTCTAGTAAAATGTGGTTGACAGTGATGTCAATGCAATAGCAACTTAGACTTTATATATGGTGCTGAGTTGAGTTTCTAGCATCATCATCTTCTGGTTTACTGTTTGTTTCTCTGCCAAAGCCTTTCTTTTGTTGCATAGCTTCTATAGTGATACATTCTCGCATTTCTCCTCAAGCCTGTTGGTTGTGTAGGATGGACCAAAGGGATTGATGTAGAAAAGACTTGAAAAAATGGACTGACTCAAATATCTTCTTTCAGGATGAGTTGCGAGAAGCTGTCTTGCTCGTATTTGCTAACAAACAAGATTTGCCAAATGCAATGAATGCTGCAGAGATAACTGATAAACTTGGACTTCACTCTCTCCGCCAACGCCACTGGTAAATTTCTCCATTCATTTTCTGCAGTAGTTTTATATTGAATTTGGTAATTCTCTTTTAAAAAAATCCTGCAGCTGGGTTAATATTGTTGGGCGTTTTTTTTTTTCAGGTACATCCAGAGCACTTGTGCAACCTCAGGTGAGGGCCTTTATGAGGGGTTGGATTGGCTTTCCAACAACATCGCTAACAAGGTGAGTGTATGAACAAAATTTCTTGCCTAGTTTAGTAAAGAGTAATAATCAAACAATAGGATTAGAAGTTGAGAACGGCTGCCAAGGAATTTCATCTAGGCTCAGTTTGGAAGGAGTAGAAATACAAATATGTACAGTACAAATACATACAAATAATACAAAATATAAAGTTTTGCACTCTACGTATTTGTATTTGTACTCCTTCCAAACTGAGCTTTAAGTTTGTACTATTGGAGGCAAAATTGATGATTGTTTTACTAAGTTGAGGACATACGTTCAGGTTTTTGAGCTCTTAACCTGTTTTGACTCCATTCCCCAGTTTTTAGTTATGTGTAACTCATTTGTACGTCTATTTTGTTCTCTCATTTACAGGCCTGAAATATAGGATTATGGATCGTTGGAAGGGTTTTATGGATTCAGTCATAAATATTATCTAGTTTTCTTTTGTTTTTTTTGGTGTTCCTCCTGCGATAAGTCGGCTTGTGGTTGTGGTGATGACTTAATATCTCTTTACGACTTCTTGGTGACGATGTTGTAATAGGTGGATGGATGATTGGATATACTTTTTACAAGGTTTTTTGGCCTTGGGTTTTCATGTACTTTAGCTAATCCTGTTAGCTGCAACCAAAAGAAAAAGAACTGTTGTGCTCTTGCCATATATTTTTAACTGAATAGCATTTATAATAGGCTTATAGCCATGGTTTAAAGTATTGATACGTGCGGTGCGCAAAAATTGTGCAATTCAACTGGGGCGATACTCATGGATTGAAATTGTTCATCTTTGCCATTTTATGGAATGGGTATTAACCGTTGCATATGGGGATTTAGAGTACTTGCATATAGCCAATGCTGTGGGCATGTGGCCTGTTGGTCAGTAGAGGTGCAGGCTCAGTCCAGTTTACAAAAAAACATTTACAAATCAAGGAGGTGTTAACATGAATGTCTTTTTTATTTGTTTTTGGAAATGCCATGTCAGCAAAAAAACAAAAAATATTATCTTTTAAAACAAAAACAAAATTTTAAAATTTTTAGTATACAGATTATAGGATTAATGGAACATGATGTTAAATAATCAGATGAAAACATGTTTTTGGAACTAGATTCAAAGAACATGTTATTAGTTTTAGTTTTGAAAACATCTAACACATACAATTAAGAACATGTTTTTTGTATTTTCTGTTTTGAAAAAACAATCTGTTTTCATATAAGATGGTTTTTTTTTATTTATTTTTAGGACGGAAAACAAGAAATACAATTCACGTTGTAAAACGGGGCCAATGGTTGAGGATTCAGCTGTGGAGGACGCCGAGTTCTCTGCTATTCTTTATTTTTTAGTAACCAAGTTCTCTGCTATTCTTTTTATTTATTTCTTTCGGCTACTGGCGTTACTCGTTACCATCATACGCCTCCTTAACTACGCATTGGGGGTATGGATCAAATGGGTCAAATTTTAGCACAAAGTGGCTTGCGTTCAGGAATTGAAGTTTTCCAATAATATGAATCATCTGAAATGGTTGAGACATTTACGATGAAAACCTCAAAAGTCAAAACCAACCACCTTCTAGGCTTTTATAATGCCATTTTGTTTAATGATATGATTTCTTTAGAACAGAAAAGAAGATTTTTTTTTTTTTTTTTTTT